ATTACCAATGATTTCTGTTGTTTGGCCAATGCAGATTTTTGATGAAGCGTCGTATATCTTTCCCGTCAATAATAAGACCTTTCAGGATATCTATTAATATATCGTGCTGCACTTTGTCAAACACTTTTCTATAATCTGTGCAACATGGAAAAACGGCTTTATGCATTGTGTTACGGGGTCATTTATTTTACTACATTTTAACCCTCATTTTAACTTCTTTGGCCCAATGAAAGCCAAGGCTTTGACCAAATTGAATATGATTGCATCTATAATCTCGATCCATATCGTAAAAGTTAAGGCAGACAGAAAGCACTCCCTAAACCCCATCTTTAGGCTAGTGTGCTTTCCATCTTATATCTCTATAAATAAACTTTAAAGTAATAATTGCCATTCGAGAGTTGGGAGCGTAGAAAAACATACTGTATGCTTTACCTATTTGTCTTTAGGTGTCACGTCCCTAAAATTCGTTCTTGTTATTCTTTACATATTAAAATTGAAAAGTGCTATAAATAACATGTAAAGTTAAACTACTAACACAACTACTTTCTCTCCCTCCCTTCCTCTATCTCTCTTGCTCTTTATGTTCTGGGAGTTAAATAGAACAACGCATAGCAATAAGTAAAGGTTAACTTTGTAGCATTAAAATATAATAGCAGTAATAACACTTCTAACGTAATTTGGCAACCTTCAACCTTTGCAACAAGCTTTTTAAAAACAAAGCATCGCACATATGTATATTTACATGTTTTTGATGTAAAAACATTTACATACGTGCTTTTAAATATTGTAGTTGTGTGATATTACAAAAAAAAAAAAAAAAAAAAAAAAAAATTAAAAAATAGAATCCACAACATATTTGAAATTAAATGAACCTTTGCTATAACTGCGAACAAACTCTACCACACTTGTATGCAGAGTTAAAATTTATTTTTACTTACTTTGTATGCACACAAATATTGTAAAAAAAAAAAAAAAAAAAGAAAGGAAACTCACTTAACATACACGCAGCCTGAGGAGTAAGTGCCAAAGCTGTATGTGTGCCTGTGTTTTAATAGTAAATAGAAAGAAAAAAAAATATTCATACACATAAAATTTTTAAAAATATTGTTGACGACAATTTAATATACATTTTTTATAGAATTGTTAGATCATCGTAAAAGTCACACAGCAGATCAAATTGAAGTCGCCCTTAAGCGAGTCGAATTTTCATCCTCGATATAGTCAAAAACTATGAAAAAAAAAAATTATAATGGGCGTAGCAAAGTTTTAAAGGGTCGACCTGAAGCGCGTAACCCACTGTAGAAATGTTTGAAAAAGTTATTGTTGGCATGGCAGAGCAAGGATGTATTGTCCAAAAAATTTGATTTTCTAAGCATAGTTACATAACATTATACCACCACTTGGAAATTTAAACGCACTTGTCTCGGAACGCTATTCTTAAAAGTCGCAAACGGCTGCCATTCGAATTATTTACAAAGTCCGTAAAACGGAACGCAGTAAAAGCACAAGGGTGTCTTTGACAAGCTTTGTTGGTCGTACATTGTTTCTTTTTCATTTGAGTAGACACAAAAACTCAATAGTTTTGAAAGTCCCCCGTGTTTTGTTACGCCTACGTACATAGCTTAAGTGATTTTCTTCGCAGATATCAATTTGGACAAGTGACACCATCTGCCTCAGAGCCCTTAAATGAAAGATGCATTGCACATCGGCGCTCATCGGCTTTCCAAAACAGAGCGTTATATGGCAATTGATCGAAAAAGTGGTTCGATCTGCACCACTGTCAATAGCTTTCGTCCTTGGGCCATAATACGTCGGTGTACTAAGTTTTATCAAAATATCTCGAAAATTGCAACCTGTAGGTTGAACGCAAGAAAACAAGGCAGACGGACAGACCGACAGACAAGCTAAGATCTATGCGAAAAATGACTCAGAATTAATCGACACACCTACACACCACTTTCATAACACAAATGATGCAGGGTATGGGAGAGACTGCTACAGTAGTCTCCTCCCTTAACTTACAATTGCGAGTTTTTTCTGCAACTTCTTGTGTTGCATAACGTACGCTTAACTCAACGTCTTAGCATAATCACTAACTTTAACGTGTCTTGTTAAAGACGGAAGGACGGCAAATCTCTCTAATTAGTGTTGAGTCTATTGCATTTGTAAAGAAGTTTTACGCAAGACCTTTAGTACACTTAAGATAACATTAACTATCCCAGGTGTAACAAAAGTGAAAAGGTTCAGATGGCATAAGTTCTAAGAAAATTACCATCGGACCAACAGTAAATCTACGGTTAAGGCCGTAACTGTTTCTACGTTATATAGCGTCATAAGTTTTCCGACTGCCCAGCATCCACCCCTTATTTGCATATACATAAGAAGAATATTGCCATAGAATTTCCAAACATTCGGTGTGTACACACGTGTAAACAGAATTATATTGTATGCAAAATAAGTATTTGTATGTGGTTTTGAAAGTATATACGAAAAGAGAAGCCATACCCACAACTAACTACATAGTAGAAAATTTCAAATCTCTATACTGCGTAAGGGAGTGTATCCAGATTACAGCGGCAAAGCCGGCATAATATGTTATAATTAAACAAACCGGTAACTTAATGCTTTCAAATTTCAAATATATTTTACTTTATATTTCGTTACCTACGTTGAAAAAACACATCCTTTACTCTATTTATGGCGTGATGATGCCAATACCATCCAATATAGATAGAATTTTCGATTTTAAAAAATCTCATATGTTCGATTTGGATTGATTCCCCACCCATGTTTAAACTATAGTTCCCTTGCTTAATTTATAGATTAATACAGATGCCTAAAAGTCTATTAAGACCAAAGAAGGAAGTTATTAAAGAGAAGGGGAATAAAAGAACTAACGGTTGCGTTGTCTCAAATAATAATCTCAATATATATAAAAAGCAGCAATTGCAGAGGATGGGATCTTTAGCGGGATTTTAGATTACATCAAAAAAGTCGCGGAATCTTTTTTAAAGGTTTGGTTAACAACTTACGCGTACATTATCAAAGTGGATCTGTTGAATTGAACAAGGAATGAACGAGCTAAGCAGGCATCTTTTCAGCTTTAAATGGCAAAGAAGCAGAGAATTCATCACTTAATCAATTTCGGAATGCATTGACGTTTTTGGTAGAAAAAAAAGTTTTTTATTAAAGTAGAGTAAGCAAATATTTTTTGTTACACTTCACGAGTAACTCGCAAAATACCCACTTTTTTGATATTGAATACAGGGGCGTTATCGCGATATCGCCATTGTTACGAGAATGGGAATGTTTACGACAAACATTGCACGGAAAGACATCTGGATGTTCTTAAACTGATTCTGACTGAAAATTTGATGCTGATCAAGAATTGCTATACTTTGTAGGGTTTCTGATATACTTTGTCGGCTTTCCTCCATGTCCACCCAACCTTCGGTACTGGGTATAATAAAGTGCTGTCAATAAAAGCATTGAATAGAAATGGAAGATGAAAAACCAGCGAATCCCTCCATATATGTCGATAATTTCCATAATCTTTTGAAATGTCAGCTTTTCCATGATCATGTGCTAATGGCGGGTGATCTGAAACGGCAAAGCAAAATGTCCTCAAAATACAAAAGTTGACATCTGTCGCTATAAAAATTTCCCTTATTCTACAAAAATATACTTCTTTTAATTTCTATAAATAAAATCTGATGTTTTTTTTCTTTTTTTTTTTTTCTTCTTCTTTGGCTTAACAAAGGTAGTGACATCGTTACTCTGCTCTTATCTTTTATGCGCTTGCATGAAAAAGTTAAAGGACTGATGTAATTTTTGTCATACCGGAATAGAAAACTTTATTATTTAACCAAGATATGGCTTGGAAGAGTAATTTTAATTGCTTTTTATAAAAGGACATATGGTATACACTTTTTTAATAAGAGATATGACTCTATTATGTACTCGGACCAGAAAAAAGGAAACCTGTCTTTGCCTCGGTCTCAACGCTTACTGCAGTTTCCCACATCCAATCTTCATTCAGCAAAACGAACAAATCTGGTTAAGAGTGCATTTAATAATTTACAGGAATTTTCTTTTCTTTACAACTGTCAAAAATTAAATTATTTTCTTAGTAAATAGGCTGGTAATTTATGCTCTCCATACTTTTGAATGCCACTTAACATTCCCAATCAGCTTCAAACTTCGATCCTTCTCGCTTACATTTCCAATAGATTCACTTGCTCTACATTTTTTGTTTTTAAGCCCTGCACCCCTTACGGTAAAAGGGCAATATTCAAAAGGACTTGAGATAGACCCATCCAGCAATTTACAATAACTTTCTGAATCAATCTAAGTTTTTTTGTCCATCTGTCCGCCTTATGTTCAGCTTACAGGCTGCAATTTTTGAGATAATTTAATGAAATTTGATACGCTAACGTGCTTGAGTCCAACGGCCAACGCTATGGAAAATGATTCGGATCGCACTTCTCTTTCGAGCATAGCCCACTATTGTCTTTTTACTTGTTTTTCATTTTCTTAATTTCAAAGACTGATTAAGTTCTTGAAGGAATTACCGGTATATAGAAAAGCACAGACAGTGCGTGCTTTGAATTCAAGTTGGTTTCAATTATCTCTTCACTATTGTATATTGCTATTGTTGTTGCCGCTGCTCAACATTCATTGTTACAATTTCCATTTAAGGGTGTTTGTGTGTGCGTGTATTTAAGAAAATCTTATTTTATTATTCGTAATATAAACTACTTTTTAAGTGTTTTTGACATTTATAAATACATTATAAAGACGAAAATTCCCTTGCTCGTGTTATTTAATTTTCTTTTCGTATTTTACATGTAAAGTAAAAGTTTTATATAAACTGTATTTGAAAGATGATCTTATCAAAATGATTTTACAGATTTTTGTATTTTTTCTTATTCTTTTATTAAAGAAAAATTTTAATTTTTTTAATGAAAAATTTCTTTTTCCTTTGTTTCTTTTTCTTACAGCTCATCAACACTGGTCGGATCATTAATCTACACGAAAATCCAATTAAAGGCAGCAATCAAGAAAAGGGGCAAAAATCAAGCAGAGAAGCAGACAAACAAATGCTGATAAATGATGCCCGAAATTGAACGTGACGTGGCATCAGAAATGGTTAGTGGAGCACATGCACCCATCTTTGAGTCAACGTCACAAAAACATTACAATTATCATAATTTGAATGTGAGTCATCATCAACATCATTTCTCGCAGCAGCAACAGCAACAGCAGCATCAGCCGCACCCGCAGCCGCAGCAATATCAACAGCACCAGCATCAGCAGCATACACATTTTCAACATTTACAATCACAACAACAACACCATACGAGCAATTATAAATTGCCGCAAACGGAAATAGACTATAAAATGGCTACGAGTTCGTATGTATACCGCAGCCCGCTGACAATACCGCCAATGTCGACAACAACACATGTATACCATAATAATAATAATAATGGTGGTGGTGGTGGTGGTGGTGGTGGTAACAACAATCATACTAATAATAATAATATGTTATTATATAATAATCATCAAAACAACAACAACAACAATAATAATAATAACAACAGCTATCAACAACATAGTGTTAATGTTACTAACATGCATTCATCTAGTCACAATGTAGCGGCAACTGTTCCGCCAACAACTGCAACGACGACAAGCGGCCATTGTTTAAGTCCTCAAAATAAAGAGAAACTAACGAATTTACTAAAAACACGTGAAACGTCGGGCTCGTTGGCTACATCATCAACGGCTTCGCCTATTGAATCCAATAAATATCGAACGGAGAGCGACCACACCGCTACAAGTCCAGTGGCGCCGCCAACATTTTTACAGAAAAGTTTAGAAAATCCCAAAAATGCTAATTATATCAACGGTTATAACGGCACAAACAACAGCAACGCTAAAATTCCAATGACTCCTTCACCACCAATTATAGCTACCGCTGCACGAACAAAGAATCCCCTTACCCGCCCCACTTTATCACCACTTGGTATACAAGAGGCTCAACAGATTACTTATAATTCAACAACAATTATGTCATGGCATCCGCATGTCTATGCGCGACCACCTAATCGTCCCACTCCCCATGGCATAGCGGATATTTTAGGATGGCGTGATGGATCGACACGTGACAATCAAGATGAATCTTCCAATTCGTCTATAGCCACGTTGCCGCCAGCACCTGCCAAATCCCCAAAAAGCATTTTAGGTAACTTTCGACAACAGTACTCCCAGCAAGGCAGTCATTGCGATACCGTAAATCAAATACATAGCGCAACGTCATTAAGCGATACAAGTGAAGAGGATACGGTGGCAATGCCGGCCACGGCCATAGATGTGGCACCGATTATGGATCAACCTTTAAATTTATGCGTTGCGAAGAAAAAAACACGAGATTCGCTATCGCCACCGCCCGCAGTTAAACAAAATCAAATATTAGGCATTAATATTGGCGACAAGGAAAAATCGTCCATGTTGGGTAAACATTTGAAAAAAGGTTAGTGCATTTTTTTTATGCATAAGCATAAGCATATGATATCACTGAGGATGCCACTCTTAGATCCAACTTATTAGGGAGAATTGCTTTTAAGCGACATCATTAACGCTATCACTCTTAAGTCCTACTTATTATGAGCATTCTTTGGGATATGATATCATCAACGATATCACCATCAAGTCCAATTTCTTACGGGGAGTTTTTCTAGTTCATCTCAAACCACAAATAACGGGTTCAATTCAGTCATAATGTAAATGCAAAAAGATACTTTTTTAGATTTGATTTGCGTAGAAATATGCCCGCGAAAAAAAAAAGTAAAAACTTCTCCCTGATTTGGTTTGGGGCAAACATGAATTTCGTCTCTTAGAATGAAAAAAACAAAAAAAGGAAAATCTTTTAATTAACTTGTCTATCGTTAGCGTAATGAGGTCGTTTGGGAAAAAAAGTGTAGCACGATTCTCATTCTAAGAGCAATTATCGCAGCAGAAACAAAAACTAATCGTAAATAAAATAACTACTTAAGGTTTTTCACTTGCGGTAAAAGTTTGTTCAGGTATCACCAATCAAATGCAGTAAAAACAATTGCGCAGTCATATATAAGAAATATTTGTATATATGTAAGAAGTTATCTGTATTCTTGTTATTGTGGTATTAGGATTTTGCATTAAAAAAGTTTCCAATAAAAGTCAATATTTTCTTTTAATTGATAATCCGAAGGAGCATGCGAAGCATTACCACCTATGCGACTTGGGAAAAATCATTTGATATTTTTCAATTATTTCCTTCCGACATTTATGTTGATTCGCTGAATTTTAGTAGAAAGAGAAGACAAGGAATAAAATATATATATAAGAACACGCTATTACGCGGTATTATGTAAGAGCAAGCACTCTGTGGCTTAATTAGAATAATCCGCAATCTTACTTCTTGTTGCTTTTGACATGCCTTTGCCAATTTCGCCCATATGGAAAACAGTCTGCAGGTACCGGTATATATAGAAACCATTACAAAAGCAAACGCAATGGGTCGGTCTAAAATTTTGAAAATTTCACTATTCACAGACAAATTTATGCATTCACAGAAATGAACCTGGTCAAACCTTGCGATACTTTAAAGAAGGGGTTGAATATGCATTTAGTTTTTTAACTAGTGTTAGAGTCTGATCAAATGTGATAAATATTTTTTTAGAGCTAAAAACTTTTCAATTTCAAGCGAGATATATGAACAGGGATCTGGCATAACGTCGACAAGCATAAGTTGTAGCATTCAGCTTAAAGCTTTTGAATTCAGAATTGCAAAAACCACATTTCAATTTCAAATCTACTGTTTTAGCATAACAAAACGATTGAAGAAAGGCAGAAAGAAGGTTTACTAAGTCTATTGCTTTGTATTTATTGACCAAAAATACCCATAGTTTGCTGATTAACTCATTATGATGAGCTCTCGACCTCGTAGTCGGAGATTAAGCATATCAGGGGGCGTTGTGCGATGAATCTTCCGCCGCTGTGGGCTACACGACAGATCCCCACATTATCCATCCACTCACGTTAACTTCCTTAAACTCTTTAAGATGAATGTAATAACATATTAGCAACGTAATATGCGCAAACAGACAGACACGTAGCATACAAGAGACAATATTGATTTATTAATTTTTAGCTATGGTTAATATTTTGAAGACAGACGGCAGGACACAGAAACGTGCGCGTTTTTACATATGAATTCTCTCTCTCACGGAGATAAGACATATAAACAGCCGCCGTTCCATATTTCCACAGCTAAACGTGTCCACAAATGGGTTCAACTTAGGTAACTAATACTTGCGTTTGTCAGTACATAGTTATAGCTTACATCGCTTGTGTTAGAAGTGTATGGATCTAAAACACCTTGAAGAATAACTTGGCATAAACCCATCTTTTATTATATCGATCGATTCTGAAAGTGATTCTGAATCAATCTAACGCTACCTGGGCATCTGTGCGTCTTGCATAATTATATTCAACTTACTGGTTGCAATTTATTAGATACTATAACGGAATTTAGTAGACCAACACGTTTTGACCACACGACAAACGCTATTACAATGGTTCGAATCGCACCACTTTTTCGATCGTGAAATTTTGATTTTGAAAAGTCGTTATATGAATGACTGCGTGGACACGTATAGGCCTTGGCCCACTATAGCCTTCCTACCCGTTTTTTTTTTATTTTTTTAAAATAAAAACAAAATATTGACAAATCTGTTTAGGCTGGTCTGTGCGTCTACCCTTTCTGTGTTCTTGCACTCAAAGCATCTTAATTCAAACCGTTCCATTTAGAATCACTTTCTAAATCGATTTAAGCTGACCAGCCTACCTCGTGTTCAACCTACAGATGACATATTTTGAACTATTTTGATCGAAATTGGTACACCGTCCTCTTTACGTCCAAGGACGAACGCTTTTAAAAATAATTCTGATTGGATCACATTTCGGCATGTAACGCCTTATATTAAAAAGTTGCCGTATGAATAACTATATTAAGCAAAATGGTGGAGAGTGCTACAATGCTTTTACTTGTCACGACCTATCTCCACGAGGAGCTCAGTTCTAACAAAAGCGAAACTCTGTGCAATCTTCTATTGCCATTTCCATAATATACAGTGCTTAAAGAAAAACGGACAGACGGATAGACAGGGTTACATCAATTCTAGTGTTCACTATATTCACTTAAATTAAAAACAAAAGTACGATCTTCCTTCACTGCATATTTCTTTGCGTAACAAATTATTTGAAAAAAAAAAAAATGAACGATAACGATTATGATGAGTTTAAGATTGACATTAAGCGAAAAGTACTGTGTAATAGTATAAATCAGTTAAAATGGCGTATAACAAAGATGATGACTTTAGCTTTTTTTATTTATTTATTCTTTTTTTTTATATTTCTGAAGAAATTTCATTTGAAGTGAATTTTTTATAATTAATTAGAAATGAAAACTCTTTGTCTGTTAATTTATTCCAACAACTATAATGGTTCGTTTTTTTTTTTATTGTTTTAGTTTTTGCATATCTATGAGTCGTGTGCGCGTAAGAGCTATTTTTAGTTAAGTTTTCCACTAAAAATGGCATAAATGTAGACACACGAATGAGTTGAACAACGTCCCACACAAACAATTGCACTCTCATACTAATACATTGTTTTCATTCAATTGATTACTAACCATGGCTGGCTGGCTGCCTGGCTGGCTGGGTGACGGGCTGGTATTAGTGGTGGCAGCCCGTAATCCTACATAAATAAGTTAAACATGCAAATCACATGCTTGTGCACGTATATATACATATATATGTATATATACATATATATATATATACCATTGATTATATTGGTTTAATAATTTATTCAATAATAAATGCTTAAAAGAACACACACACAGACACACACAGACACATAACACGTACACACACTCGTGCATGGATATGGACACACACAAAGCGTGCAAGTAAATCTTAAAAATATAAAAATAAATAAATGATATTTACACTTAACATATAGCGCGCAAAAGAAGAAAGGAAAAGAAAAGAAAAAAAATCACAACAATGTTCATTAATGTAAACGTAATGTAAATGTGTTATGTACTTTTGCCTGTGCAATGCAAACGTTTATGGCGAAACGGAAAACGTTATTGTTGTACAATAATTAAAAACAAATGCTAATAATATAAAAAAAAAATTAAAAAAAAAAAAGATAAAGAAGAAAAAATATGAAACCACTAAGGCAAGCATTTAATTAAAAATTTTTTAAATAAATTGCAATTAAATTAGTTTAGCAACATGAAAAAAACAAAAAAACATTTGCACAAAAATATTACAGAAAATCGCAATTAATGAATTAAGAAAAAAAGCAAAAAAAAAAAAAACATATCAACAAAAAGAAAGAGACTAAACACACATACAAAAATTGCAATTTTATCACGTTGCAAAATATTTAAGCAACAACAGCAGATATCATCGTTTGGCAAATTAATTCGAAAACAAAGAAAAAACGATTTCGTTTCTGGCTAACAAGTCAAGAGAATTTTGACATGATTTCTAATTTGAAAAGAACATGAATATGAAACAAGTAAGACAGGGCACATAAGGTTGGAAACGCATCTTGGATACCCATCCGTCCCGTCCAAGTTAATAAAATGAAAAATAACGAAAATTTTATTTTCTTCTAAGCAACTAAATAATGAAATTTTTTAAAAAAACCTAAGGGATTTATAAAAATAAAAGACTATTATAGCGGAAATGCTACTTCTTTAAACCGAGTCCTTGAGTTTGGAGACAAAATGAAGCAACTTTTCCGACAGTGGCAAAATTAGCATTTTTTACAATGAAATGGATAGAAGAGTTGACCATCATAGGTCTAACATGACGTAACAGAGCCGCTCTAAAATCTCGCTAACTAATCCAACTTGGATAAACTTTCCTCTATTTAAGCGCACTAAAGCAGGTTATGGTGTGCATAGTTAGACTTGGCGCGCTTGTAAGCTTTTTAATTGCCTTTGAAAGGCTTATGTCGTTACAGACATGATTAAGTGGGATCGAGCTACCTGCTTAAGACTTGGGCATGTTTAGTCAGATCATTTAGAGATCTCTTCGTCTCGATTATAGACGACGTTGCTAGCAGCTATACTATAGTTTTGCTATCGTCATTCTTAATGCGAAAAAATAAATATATTAAAAAAAAAGATTCAAAAATCCAGTCCAAAAGTTCACTTTTAACTGAGTTATACATCAAAGAATGGTTTAAAAAGTTTGCTTTAACGATAAAGCTTTGCTCTCAAATTGAAACAACTATTCGAATAAAAACAAATACCAATCAGAGGCCAGTTTATATCTGTCGGTATCGAGTAAACTCGATCGTAGGTTAAATATGTTCCTCGAGAGCAATTTGGTGGTCAATAAATTTTTCATTCGATGATAAGTGAAATGCGTAGTTGCATCGAGTTTCGTGGATTGAGCTAACTCGATATCC